TAGCTTTCACATCTCTGCCATTTGAGTCATCTTTGAGACTAGGACTTGATGAGACTTAGCTACTGGAAAAGCTGTACAGAACCATCTATTTACTTTTTAAAGGATTCCCCCCCCCCCCGCCCCCTTCATAGTTCCAAATAAAGGTTAGCCATCCGTGTGTGTTCTGGATTTAGGCGTGTTTATTGCCTTTGATTCTCACTGCAGTGGTCCAGCTGGAAGCTAGCAGGCTGGCCAGAGAAATGTATGAAACCCAACAACTGAACGACATCTCCTTTGCCCGCCTGCTTGCCGCCAGGCATTTAGCTTGGCAGCAGGTACCGCCATCTTCATGTGGCTTTATTGAGGGGGTCACAGGGCTGCTGCTTTCACACAGTTAAGGTCTGCTCACCCTCTGGGACTTACCTGCATTGATTAACTCAGTGATTTTCTTTGGTTGCAAAATAACCACTATACGCACTTAAGCCTTTAGTTTTGCCCTTTCTATAGAAATCCAAGATTGAGCTCCCTATCTGCAGTGCACACTCCTGTTTTTTAATAGTCTATACTTTATACCGTGTTAAAAGTGCAGGTTTTTTCCACTGTTATTTGTTTATTAATTTAGATTTCATTTTCCTAGTAATTTAGTATGTCTGAAAGAATGTGTCCCAAAATTTTTTTTAAGTACTTGCCAGGTATATGCCTGCTGTACAACTAAAAGCTTGTTGTCATGCTTTGATTTTATCCACATGGAAAATTTGCCTGCTTTTGCATAAACATTCAGGCTGGGTTTTATACTCAGGTCTTAGGTAACTAGTCTAAAGCTGGTCTGAACAGAAGCAATTATATTGAGAGACACACCAAGAGGCTGCATGTGTATTTGTTCTTTGTCTTGAATACTTTTGCATATTTCCTAAAAACAAAAAGAAAAAAAAAGAAAAAAAAGTATTCTAAAATTTGTTTTTAAAACTAGTTGTTTGGAATACATCAGTCTTGTTTGAGGGACAGTCTCTGTCTTTTAAATTCTGAGTCTCAGATCTCATAGGCTAATCTCAAATTGCTCTTGAAGTATGTGAGAACACTCTTTATTACAGTTCTGTGAAGCCTGTGTAGAAATGGCAAGTGTGTATTCATCTCCTGAAAGCTTGTGAAGAATTTGCTGTAGCTTATGATAGAGCTCCTCAGCCTTAGGAATGTAAACTAGATTCAGTGATGTTAAAGATAGATGTTCAAAAAGAATTGGCACATGAACAGAATTGGGTGTTTAATATCTTTTTTTAACTTTTGCAATTGTGCTATTTTACTTGACTGAGCAAAACGATTAAATGTTTTCTTTAAAACCTAGATAAAATAGATTAAACCCTCTTTTAAAAAACTATTTTTCAGTGAACGTGACTTTGTCTGCAGTGCCTTCACATACTTTGCTCCACTGCTATTCGTCCTGAGGTTTGGCTGTAGGCTCAGAGCTGTGCTTTAGCAGCAGAAACCCTTACTGCTTGGCCCCTCTCCTCACTTTTATTTTCATTTTGGTTTGCAAATAAAATGCTGGGCTGAACTCTTGAAATGTAACTAGCCACCTTCCCTGGCTGCTGGTTATCTAAATCAGCCTGGTCTGTAGAGCAAATTTTTGCTGAATGTCAGTCTTTAAAGAATTTTTTGTGATTTCTGCCTTTATGGCTTTGTCTTTTGCCGTGTTGTCATAGGCATAGGCTTGATGTCTCATCACATATTATGAAAAGGATGTATCTGATTAAGGGAGGGAGTGTTGGATGAGGCAACTTGCTGGATGAGTTTAGTGCTCGAAGCCCAAGGTCAGCACCCATGTTAGCACTGGAGGAAAGAGCATATAGTGTGTTTCATCTACTGTGTTTCTCACTTGATGGGACGGAGGTTTGAAGATTAAGGAGTGACTTAAGATGATAAGTGCTTAAAACCCATCATATATTACAGCAATCTGGAAAGTAATAAGAAGGGAGGGGGGAGAATTTTACACTCATGCGTCACTTGAAGCTTTTAGAGGATGATTTAGTAGATGGAATTAATGCTTTTGAATAGTTGGGCTTGATGGCTTCTGAAATCATCAGTTCGAGCTCTTGTGAAGTCGATTCTGGTATTGTGCACCGTCTTCTTCATTGCTTGTTTGGAGAAGGGGTTATCCCGGGAGAAAGTAGGGGAAATAGTTGCCCAGACTGTTAGTTTTGTGTTTGTAAAACATCTGCTCTGAAGTCCTGAGCCTGCCTAATAAAATCTGCTTGCCAGCAGGAAAGCGTACATGTTTGAAGGAGTAGGTCTCAGTGATACAGAGTGGAGGGCTTTGTTAGTAGAATTCCTTCAGGGACAGTCTGTAACCAAAGGTTCTGTCTAATGTATTTTCTGTTTAAAGAAAGGAAATTCCAGATGATGTTTGTATTTTCTGTGTATTTATACTGATAAGTGCATTAATATTATACCACTTGAATTAGTTTTTGAACAGGCCTTTTGTAACTTGGGGTAGTTAGAAGACAGGTTTCAACCTTTTAAACTTTTAGACCTTCCAAAGTAAAGCAAAGATTATTAAGAAATGGGGATCTAGACCATGACAGCAGCAAGCAGAAGTACTGACTGAAAAACAAGAAGTTCCAAGAAGAGAATTTTAATGTCAGAGGCAATCAACTGTTTTGACCAATGACTGAAATTTTTGTGACTTCCAGCAAGTAGGGTGTGTTTGGTATGGATTTTCAATCTTACTGATGCTAAACGGGGCGGGGGGAATCACTCTTTGTAGAACATTTTCTTTGGATAATCGTTGTCCCAAATGTAAAGAAGTTGTCTTTCCTTTCTTGACTGTGGGATTTGAACAACTTTCAGTAATGGTTAAAAGACTATGCCAAACACATCACCTATGGTTTCACCTTTCAGCTGCTTCCTTGAGGGAGTGCGCTTGCAGTATGTGATCCTGCTGGGCAGGAATTTCAATGTGTGTGTGTATGGACTGCTGTGTGGGTGTTAGAGGAGATTGGAGAAATACGCCTTGCACCTGGGTTGATGTCTCTGCTGGAGCTGCTGATTTGATTACCTTCAGGAACCCAACCTATTGCCCCACCTTGGGTCCTGAGGTTACTTCATCTCCTCTACAAATTAACTTCATCCTGCTTATAAAAAGGTCTGCTGAGGTGGGAGCTTCAACTGCAGGCTTTTCCTAAACTCCAGGAAATCTTTTCGGGCAAATGCTTGACATCAAGTTTTGACGCTGTGATATGAAACCTTAGGGATGAGTCCAGGACCTCTTGGCACCTGGGCTGAAGTATGTGTCTGAGCAGTAGTGCCCAAAGCAAAGTAACAACTACGGTGACCATGGTGAGAGAAGAGGATTTCTGCACTGATTTCTTGCAAGAAAAAAGAACTTTCTCTAAAGGTTGGGTCTGAGTTTTTTTGTGCCTTTCACTAGGCATCTATAGAAGTAAAAATGTGCAGAAAAATTGTGGGTGTAGTAACTTTAACCAGAAGAGGCTGAATTGCAGCTAGAAGCCTTTGGACTGCTTCCCTCTTCCCACTCTCCCAGTTGAATCTGTTATATGGAACATGCAGCGCGTAGGTTTTAACATCCCCAGCATTTGCTGAATTTGCTAGGCGTCTTTGCAGCCCGCAGAATCGGCTGTGGCGGCTGGACCAGCGAAGCCTGCCAGACCACAAAGGCCAATACTCCATGGTGGCTCCATCATCCTACACACAAAAAGGGCGCACTGTGAGGCCATTGAGACAAGCAAAGTGATAGGCAAGGTTAATTAGCCTCGGTACGGTATAGCCTTAAATATGTCAGTTATCTTGGGGTTTTGAAGGTGAATAATACCCCTGTGTGGTGTTGCCCTGCCCTGTGGTTCCCCAGCATGGGGCTGCTCAGAGCGGGATGGGTACAACCTGAAGTCACCTCACGCAGTGCAATGTAGACACGTCCTGGTTCTGTTCTTCCCAGAGCCAGGTTAGTGCAGCTGGTTAGATCATGCTGCAGTCTGTCTGGATTTAGGGGAGTGATCAAACATGTGCTTAACAGCAACTCTGCACTCACTTCTAAGCATGGCTTTAGGTCTCTAATGGCAGACATCCTTTTAAAACCCAAGCTGTGTTTTCTTAAACATTTCATCCTTTAAAGTATTGCACGTGCATTTTAGGTCACTTGAGCTTGCTTCCTTTCTGCTTGCTTGGAATTTTGTGTGCTTTTTTTTCCACCATGCTTGCTAGTCAGAGAAAGAATTTAAATTTTCCATGTACATACATATATATATATATATGCCCACTTTTGCTTTTATGCTTCTCTCACAGTCTTTTGCAGTGGGTAAGCAGAACTTACTTGTCAAAGAAAGCAAACAGAGAGAACAGACCCATGGCCCTCCGCCCCTTGAAAGAGCAGAGGGCATGTGGAATAAATCAAAATGCGAAGCATAATAACGAGGTCCCATGGGAAAGGGAGCCTTGCGATTGTGCACCAGTGTGCACTCCCCTTAGAGACGCCGGCTGGGGGGCTTGCCCCATGGCGGCCGGGGGGCTCCTTTCTTTCTCGCCTGCATCTCCCCTCCCGATGTCACCGATCCATTCAGCCCCCAGAGAATTGATTCGCATTCGTCAGGAGCCTTGGGAGATGGGGAGAGAGGGGGAGAGCGGAGAGCGAGGGGAAGAGGGCGCGAGCTGGTGATGCCGATCCCCATGACGCGGCGAGCCGCGGCACGGGCAGGCGCAGGGTGGGCCCCCAGGACGCGGCGAGCCGCGGCACGGTCAGGCGCAGGATGGCTATTTTATAGCTGGGGACCGCGGTGACGTATGGCTGAGTGCTTGCTGGCACGGCTCCTCGTGGACCAGTCAGCGGAGCGAAATTGAAGCTGACAAGACTTTTCTGGCGTTTTGGAAAGGACTGTAATCTACTGTAGGGGAGAACAGAGCCGCTCAATCACCGCCGCCGTAAATAGGAGACGGAAGGGAGTGAGAAAGGAGGCGAAGAGAAAAAGTGCTTGCTGGGGGGGGAGGGGGGGGCGGCATTTTTGGTGGATGGTATGAAGCCAGCCATGGAAACTGCAGCGGAGGAAAATGCAGAACAAAGCCAAGAGAAAAAAGGTACCCAGGGGTCTAACAATAGCCTGTTTAAATCTTTTCATTCAGGGGGCTTAAAGAGCTTTAGGCCAGTTTTGTCACTTTTTCGAATAGCTCTTAAACAATCATTACTGCATCTTCGGGCTTTCAGCCATCCTTTCCTGCACGGCTTGACAACAAATTAATAGAGCAGCAACCTTTCTGTCTGCGTCTGTATTTGCTCTGAATCTGTCCCAACCCTACCGGACATGATGTTTGCAGAAGAAGTCTTGTTACTGCTGCGTCTTTGACGGATTTTGGTAAATTTGGTTTACAGAGGTAGCGTGTGCCTGTGTGTTTGCATGTCATTTTCAGAGTCGTAATCTGGTGTTTTCATCAAGGCTAGCCATATAGCGAGGCTTTGCAATGCAGTGTGAGAGACCTAGGTGATAATAACGTATGATAGATATCACACAACCTTTGTGCAGTTAGCTTGGTGCCAAATGCTGCTCTTAATTTTAAATTCCTTTTCCTTTTCTGTGGTGTCATCTGGCAGATTTTGCTTATGTAGAGATCTGCGGGTCCTGTGATAATGGGGAATAATGCAATGAGTTTCACAACATTAGGTTTCAGGATGTGTTAATCACCAAGAATTGCTGCTTAATGGAGAGAACAATTCCATGGTAGCGGTTCTGTGGTAGGGAGATGGCACCGCAGGAAGAGAGGTGCTTCATCCATCCCAGCCTTACAGGTGATTTATTTGATCCCGAGTGCTGAACTCCAGACGGTAAATTCAACTAGCAAAGGACTGTTTTCTTTCTGTGTCACATAATTTATGCTAAATAAATGCCCCTCTTCAGTGTAGCAGACGGCTCTACAAATCAAAGCAGTTTTTTTTTTTTGCTAAATGATGGAGCAGTAACAAAATTATTAAAATTTCCACTGCCTTTTTACATGAGTCATAGTATACTTTTGAACCTGTTGTGTGTCAGTTAAAGCAATCTGAGTGTCTCGTAGGTATATGCAGCTGATACACAACTAAAACGTTTCCCTAAGTAGAATTGCTTAATTTATTGTTAAACAGTTCAGATGTGAACGTAATGATAAATCCCAGTACTGTCCAGTACCAGATTTTGTTTTCGTACTTTGTCCTCCTACACACTTTGTATAACTCAAACCTAGCTTCAGTTTCAAGTAAATGAAATTTGTCAAGTGATTAGACATAGTACTACGTAATCCCTTAGGGATTTCACAAAAGGAGGTCCACTGATGAGAGATTAAACTCTGAAAGCCATTAGTGTATGTGGACAATAACCCACCTCACTGCAGATTTTGAGTAATTAATGTACATAATGTCCTAAATACCACAGCTATAAAACCACCTTGAACTCATAGATCATTCTTAAAAAATTACAGCAATTTTTTTTCTTCTGATTGATGAATTTTGTTTAAACTGATAGAACTCATGTACAATAAACACCAAAAAAAGTTATCCGTATGCGTTAGCAGCTGTGCTAAACGAAATGTGTTACTGAGTGTGTTTATGATGAGTTTATGGTTTTCCTTTTTATTTTGGCAAGGATGAAAGCACAATATGTAGAATGGTAAATCTGTTACCAAGTCAAGGTGGTTGATCTGTTGCTTTCATAAGATGCAAGCCGGGGAACTTCCTATCTTAATTTTACCACCATTTCTTCATTTTTCTGTGATAATGTTATACTTTGGGTCTGTTACATAATCATAGATAGATCTAGATCCGCGTATGTAACGCTTCAAGGCTTTGTTCTTGCCAGTTCCCCGCTTTCTGAAAGTAGCACATGGTCTCTCACGTTACGCTCTTTATTTCTATTCACTTAAATTCCCAATATGATTCACAGTGAATTAAAATGCAGAAAGCTGAAACAGTCTTACTCCTAGTTTCAATAGCAAAATTAATAGCCCAGATCCCCCTGCAAAGCTACTGCCATGAAGTGGTGATGTAGAGGCATATTTGGTTTTGGGGAACAGCTTTTTCCAAAGTGCTAAGACTGTCGAGCCCAATTGGGTTTTTAGATGGGCTCAGCAGGCATCAGGTACCTCTGAAATGGCAGGATTTTTCAAAAGGGCTCTTTCACCAGCAGCTCTGATGGAGAAAAATGGGCTTTTTCTCTGTGTGAAGAAGCTTCCTGGAAAATGCTGCCTCTTTGCTTCGGTGTGTAAAACAGAAGCTGACCCCTTCAAAAATGTGTCCATTTACTGTCCAGACTGCATCTCCTGCCTGCTATGCCTTCCATGCTTGCCAGGCTTGCAACACTTGCTTCTTCCTCTAAGATGCCAACTGGACGTAGTGTAATGGCCGTCCTTTATGAGATGCCCTAGATCCAGCGATTGCAAGGCAACCACCACAGCTTGAAGCAATTGAAGCACTATCACACAGTCTTTTAACTCTTCCTTCCAGAAATGAATTGCGAAATCCAAGGAGATGAACCAGCATCAGAGGGAGTTTGGGGGATGTCATTATTGCTAATACTGAGCAAGAGAAGATCCTGAGTATTTTGCTTTGGGTATTCCAGTTCACACACAGTATGCTTTGCAGTGCCAAGTTCAGGGGAAAGCATCTGCATTTGACTATTAGCTAATGGTACTTTTCAGCTAAGAGGTTTTTTTCCCTTTACCAGAATTTTAAACTACAGGTTTCCAGGTTGCGGTGTTTGGGGGTTGTTTTAATGCAAGGATCTCCTTAGTGATGTACTGTAATTGTATAGAATAAATACTCGGAGGAAGTTGGGCTAGAACTACATGCTGTCTATATACAGGGCTCCCTGTACCCTGGAGGAGAATGCTGGAAAGCAATACTGCCCAAGCACTCGGGGTGAGCCGCGTGAGCGATTTTCAGTTTGAGCACCTAATACAGTCGGATGGGAACAGTGGTGTTGCATAGGTACTGGTTTGTGTTTCACGTCCTTGTGGAAAATGCGGATGGCCAGCTATTTGGGATTGCAGCGTAGCTGAGAGAATTTACACAAGCTAATGTGCTTTACTAATATTTACTGATTGAGAAATGAAAATGATCTTATTTAGATTTTTAAAGTTTGCTAAATTATACATGAATTCCAGTTTTATATTTTAATAATTGTTTTCATGAATCCTCTGCCTGATCCAGGCAGTGATACTGCCCAGCTGATGGATTCAGTGTTTATCAGACATTTGTTTCTCTGCACCCAAATGAGTGGCTGCTGCCCCAGTTTTTTTAATTGGAAATGGAACAACGCCCATGTTGGTGGAGATAAGAAATGTCAGCTTTATAGTGTGTATCAGCAGCCCTTATCAGAGGAGAACACCATGAGCAAGCTCAAGGAAAATATTTAACAGATACTTTACAGGGCTGCAGGACAGATTGGATGAGTTTTAAAGATGAAGATTTACAAATTATTACAAATGACAGGGTTTATCTTACAGGCATTAAATTAAATCAAAATGTGAGGACTGAACAGGCAGATTTACTGAGGTAGAATAAATAAGAAAAATGAAATGCCATTTTGCATCAGCAGTGCAGGATATAGATCCTGATACACACTAACAGAGACAAGAAGTTTCCCTTTTCATTTAGCATATGAGCAATGCTACCAAGTTGCAACATTAAAAAACAAACAAACAAACAAAAAAACCAACATGAAACAAAATAAAACCCAACTGTGGATGACCATGGTGAATTCACCAATTACACATGGGAGTATGGAAGCAAGCCATTATACTGGGATACAGTTTCCTCGTATGAATGCATATGATGTTCAAATTGCACGTGCTGTGCTAAGGAATAATGAAAACCAGCCTGAGCAGCTGTACCAAAGGTCCCTTTTAACTGGCTCTTCCCTACCATTGTGCTGTCAGTGAAAGAGGACCTCGTGCTCAGGAATGGCTATGAGCTTTATTATTTTCATCACATATGAAGCAATTTTCATGATTTTAAACTCTAAATAGACAAGTATGTGCTAGTCAAAAATAGAAAGAAAAGACTTAAACACAACTGTGCAACTGGGTGCGATAGTGTAAATGGAGTTGCTAAAGTGCAACGTGAGAAAGGAGTGAACTAACATGCTGTTTCTTTCACTTTTAGTGAAGTCCTTTGTATGCAGTGAGCTTGCGATGTTTTGATGCATCACAGATGTATTTCTCATTACAGCAAATTGAAAAAAAATCTTTTTATCTTTTATATAAATGTTGTGGTTATTAGCCAAAGTTTTCAAACATACTGCCTTAATGTTAGGCTCACACAGTGGTATCAGAGTTGTCGAGCTGTTTAAAGATTTTTAGTATGCTGCATATTTTTTTCCCCTTTTCAAGCAGTTTATCGGTGTTTCCGATCCCCTGAAAACAGCAACTGCTTTAAGTCCCTGAAGAATACGACCGCACGAAGAGTGGTCCAGCCCAGGGAGAATCTGGGACACACGATATTCTAGGGATAATAATTTGGCAGGCTTAGTGATTTAGGTTTTAATGAATAGGATTTGGTTTCTAAATAGGAGGGGGTTGAAAAACACTCGGAGAATGTACTCATACTGGTCTGAATGACCTCATGAAAGCAGAAAGCTTAGACGTATGTGCCACAGCCTATGGTAATGGGGGGGAAAACCCCCAGATGGCACTGTACATGCACAGCGGACTCTGCAGTGGGAGCAAAGGGGCTAAAAAGGGGAGAGAAGAGGGGTGGGGGGAGCCCCTTTCAGTTACCCTGGCCTTTCCCCGTTCTCTGGCCAGCCTTGCTCCTGATGCAGCCTTGACCAGCAGATTGCCAGAGCATAAACGACCACAGGACAACCCTCTCTTCGCTCCCCTGGACTGCTCCTTCAGCTGTGACAGATTAATGTTTCCTCTAAAACCATATGCTAAAGGCAGCGTGTGTGAGGATGTTGGGCACTGGGAGCTTTGTTACAGGCGTACGGGGTGTTTGATCCCAAATGAATACCGGAGGGCACAGCCGCCGTCAGTGTGCCTGCATGGCGTGAGGTGAAGGCGTTGCCAGTCCTGTAGCTGCTGCGTCTCCGCAGGATTGAGTACAGCCGGGTTCAGACAGAAGGTCTCGAGCTGCACGAGCTTGGCCGTGCCTGGGGAGTTCCGTCACCTAGACCTGAGAATGCAATTTGTGTAGTTGGTGCCTCAAACAGCAAGAGGTAAAGCCGTCGTTTAAACCTATTACCTTTCCTAACTATTCAGGGTACAGAGTTAAATTCGGGTTCATACGTACCGTGTGCGGTAGTTGTTAGGCCACTGCAGCCTGGGGGGCTTTTGACCTGGTGGTGATTTTGCATAAGTGGGCCTGCGTGAGTCCCAGCGGAGCCACCACAAGATGCCCCTCAACTGCGGAGGTCGTGCCAAGCGTGCAGTAAAGGCTACCAAACAGCCATTGCCAAGTGGCTCTTTGCAGAGCAGTGGAAAAACTGAGATTCTTTGTGGAGTTTGAACGGTCCCCTAATGAAGGGGAGCCCTGTTATTAACCCAGAAAATCACTAACTAAAAAAAAAAACCAAACCCAACTTCACAGAAGATTTTCACTTGCAGAAATGACGCTACACAGTTTACACGCTGTCTCCCCGTTTCAGGGTTTGATGTTTGTCCCACAGCAGACAGTGGTGTCTTCACCAGCGTCCCCCCAGGCTAAGAAAAAAAGCAGCTGCCTGCTCTGCTGCTCTGAGCAAGGGGTTTTTGTAGCTGCTGCAGGAGAAATCTCAAATTGCAGGTTCAGGCCCGGTAGGATAAAATCCTGTTAGTGCCAAGGGTTTAGTCTATACACTGCTGCAGCGCAAATGAAATTTTTTTTCTTCCCAGAAGTCTTTGCAGCTGGTTATTTTTAATTTAAAAAACAAAACAAAACTGAATCCGTTACTGATGTCCAGTAAGTAGCTTCAAAAAAACAGGGAGCAAACAGTTGGGAGGGAGAGGGGAGAGACAGTATGCAGTACTAGTGAGCAATTCTGTTATTTTCCATTTTGTACCAATTATATTACTGTGGCATCTCTCGTGATCTCATAAACAGGATTGTTCCTGTGTAAGCAGAAGGAGATGATATCATCCTGAGCGTGCACAGTTATTTTGGAACGATGCCTTCAACACAGTTTGAATTTGGTTATGTTCATAAGATGTGGAATTTGCCTTTTCTAAAAGGGAGGATAAACTGTAGAAAGTGGAATAATGCCTTTTAGGAAAAATATGCTACCTGATACCTGCTTGCTGATTTCTCTCTGAGTCACGGAGAGGAGAGAAACACCAAGCCACAATATACCCTTTAGAGAGCCATTGACACTAAGTTTGCATCCCAAACCCAAAAGAGTGTTTTAGTATTGTAGCTCATTTGCCGGTGTAGGAGATGAACAAATTCTTGTTTCTAACCTCTGGATCCAACATGTGGACTTGAGGCCAAGATTTTTTTTCTCTTCTTGACATATGTAAATGTAGCTGTGCCAAACTTGCACCAGCAGCAAACCACATGAGAGAAGGACCAGGTCCAGGACTTTTCTAGCCCCTCACAGGCCAGAAATTTAAGCATTCCTATCCCCCCTGAAATTTGCCTCTGGTCTAGTCTATGGCAGATGGGTTTTCAGCACCATAACTTTCACTTCTTCCACCTGCCCAAATGCTACTGAATTAGATTTATTTTGGCTGGAGATGATGGTTACTTGCTCATTTAGCCACCGCAGAGTGGGACTCCGGTGCATTTTAGAGCTGCCTGTCTCTCCCTGACAGCCTCTACAAAGCCATAGCAGTGCCGAGGGAGGACAGGTAGGTTCAAAAGAGGTTTGTTGTTGTTTTGCCAGGTGGCTCAGAGATGAACGTGTAGTGAGTGTGCGAAGGGGTCAGGTGTGCTACTGCACGTGGGGTCTCATTGTCGGGCCTCATCTGTCCTCTGAAAAGGCAAGGAGAAGGATAACTGCTCTCCTTCATTGTAAACACAGAACAAGTCTGTTTTAACATACTTGGTCCAGATTTTTAAACGTAAGCGGAACCTATGTGAAATAAAGCCCATGACTCTTTTTTTTTCTTTCTGTGTTATGTAAGGAAGTGACGGAGCAAACTTGTGTGTTTGCCTTACCTCTACACATAACAATAACCACTTTCTTTGACAGATTTAGGGTCTTTTAAAAAAACAGGTAATGTGGTGTTCCATGACTTTGTCTTCCTTTTTGTCTGGAGCAGAGCTCTTTGCCATGGACAAAGAGAGGGAAGTGTGAGAATGGGGCGGGGGAAGGAATAGATAGTCCTTCCTTATGTGTTTAATTCAAATCCTGGGTGGAGTTTTAGCTATTCAACCTTTGTTAACACCTGTGTAAGCATCTCCCTGTCGATCGTCCCTCCCACCCCTTCCCTTGGTTTGTAAGATTATGTTGTTTCAATTCTGAAACTACAGCGTATTTTTCTGGGCTCTTATTTTTAAAGTTAAATGACTGAAAGTACTGAACTAAAACTTGCTGGTGACACTGACTTTTTACCACCTAAAATTGGCAGTGATCACCAGACCAGAAATGGAAATTGGCAGGTACCACTGGATGTACAGGAGTTCAAGGCCACACCGGTACCATCATGTGCCAGCATTGAGAGGCAATATTAGTCCTTTGGGGATTCAAGGTAAATAAAGGGCTGGGTGAAAGGGAAATGGAGAGTTCAGAAATGGTAGTAGCATAAACCTAATGCTTTGCACTAGTGCTAACAATTTAAGATAAATGTTCTATTTTTTCTTGTTTTGTTTGTTAAGGCTGTAAGGAATCTAGTTCTTTCATATGAATACTTGACAGAAATTTAAATTTGGTTGTTAATTCTTGAAAGACAATAATGTGTGGTGAGGGACACCTCCCTTTTAACTGTGCTGCCTGATTGCTTCAAAACTGTTTACAGATGAGACAATGTAGTGTGGGTTTTGTATGCAGATGAATCTATCAAACTGCACAGCCACAAATGCAGTAATTGACACTAAAGAAGTGACAGCACATCTGATTCACTGGTCTCCTACAATATGCTTCCTAGACAATATTCCATGGTTTTGTTTGCATTTTCCCCTTGCTAGAAGCTGTAAGTGCACATGTCAGAGTCTAGAGGAGGATTTCAGCTGAGGCTTTAAAAATTTTTTGGTGATTCTACATGCCTGTCCTTTTGATATCTGGCTTGAGTCCTCAAAAAGATCTTATTTTGTTTTCCTGACGCTTCATTTTAAGAGGTTGGGGGGAACTTAGTTTTGAGGCATCTCAGAGGCACCTGAAATGAAGCACATGACTGATTGCATTGGAAAATTCCAGTCTGACTGAGGGTTAACACAGCGAAGGCTATAAATGCTCAGAGACAGCATTTGCAGCTAGCTGTATCCAGCAATCCTCTTCTCTCTATGGAGCTGATTGACTGAAGCCTGCTTGACAGGTTGTTTGCTGGAGATGCCTGCCTCCTCATCAGAGACTTTAACAGCAACTGCAGGGAAATATTCACCAAAGCTTGCTGCCTAATCCTTCCTTCTTCCATTATATTTTCACACATGTGTGTTCACATGTGTGTTCTTTAGGATTCAGATGTTTATGTATCTCAGAATGTCTTCCCCCTGTGCCCTACCCCTCAATACTTAGGTTGCAAATCATGATCTCCAGCTGCAATATCAATATTCATTTGGGCCATAATTGATGTTAAATGACCTGCTGCTGGACTTGGTGCTGCCAGAAGACATTCCAAAACTTCCGATCAGTGCACACGGGATATTTTATACAAGGGAAATATGTTTTAGGAAGGAGCGACAGATTACGAATGCTGCCTTCCTGGGAAGGAGGACACGGAGGGAGCAGGCCAGGTGCCTGGTTACTGGGGTCTTATGCCCCATCAGCTGTCTCCAGTGATGAGACATATATGTATATGCTGGCGCATATACGATGAGCCAGGGCGCAGAGGAGACATGCAGCCTTCTGTCGCAGCAGCTGGGAGTCTGGCACCTAAAATGGTGCTAGAAACCCTTGTTTAGCAACTAAACCCTATGCAGGCTGCCTTGGGAAGCTTTCTGAAATAACATGCAGGTAAATGTGGTGCCTGTCTTGGAGGAGTTGAAGATGAAAGGGTTCTTGCTGATGGGAGGAAAAAAAACCCCATCAACAAAGCCCAGAAATGCCAATTCAAGGGAAGGTGCTTTAAATGGCTGTACTTGAAGAAACGAAAAGGTTTCTAGGCAGCAATGAAACTGCTCTGAACATGTCTTGAGTAAGACCCAATCTGCCAGTGATGGAGTGGCCACAGTGAAAATACTGGTCTTTGCTCCTTTTCCTTAGATTGGAGGGAAAATGTCACTTCACTCACAATACGAGTCACAGCTGTAACCTGCCTCCCTTCAGTACTGGCATACAGCTCGCCGCTGCTGGGTGGCATTGGCTGCTGTCTGAGATAAACTTTGTGTTTCTTTGATGAGCCACGTTATTTCTTGGGTGCCTTTGCAGTGTGGATATTTCTACTTTGCCTTCTCTGCTGGTGTCTGAATGGACTCTGTGGCAGTCCTCGCCGGCATCCACCTCTTTTCCCAGGGTCTCCACGTACAACATGCTCTCCCTTCCCCATTTTAAGTTTTAATCTGCCACTTGGGCAATAAGGGAAGAGTCAGCATGGGATAGTCACCACAGTGCTGGAGCCAAGACATCCCCAGAACACCTGCAAACTTAATGAGCCTTTCAAAAATGTCTGAAACGTTTTTTTTTTTCTCCCAGGAAGCAAAGTACCATCTTTTTCTTTAGTAATTTTAGCAATGGTTGTTTAACATGAGGTTAGCTGTAGGCACTCTTCCAGGCTGGGTGGGGGTTGTTTGCTTTATGAGAATCTCCCCGCCCCCCCCCCCTTTTTTTTTTTCCTCTTAACTTGCTTTCCCCAGATGCTGGGAGGTGCTTCAGCTGCTTTGTGAGTGCATAAGGGCATGTGAATGTGGAGTATGTCACTGAAACAGCCTGCTGCCTTCCTGAAGCAAGCTTAAATTTTGAAAACGGTGTGGTGGGAACACAACTGGGGAGATGCCTGCATGAAAGTTGTTGCAGGGAAAAGGACTTCTGCAGTTTGTGGTTCAGGTTTCTTACCACTTTTCTAGTTCCATAGTTGGGTAAACATCTGGAAAGATGTTGGCAGCTTCAGGTAGCTCTGAAATGGAGAATTTACCTTCTAAAGCTTAGCTCCACCAGGCTGAAATCCCTACACACGCTGGTTTTGGCCCTCAGCTCTAGGGAGAGAGGTTGTGTTTCTGTTTGCTTCTTTGTAGCTAGGGAGGAGTCAACTGGGGAAGCGGTCAGTAGCAGTGGCTGAAGTCCAGTGTGGCAAAAGTCTTGCTCTCAAGCTGAGTGCTGAAGGCTGATGGAGAGTGAGGTGAGTTACAGCTGCCAGAAGGGTGGAGCTAAGAGTCTCAACTCCAGTCTTGCAGGTAAGATACCTTTGATTAAAGTCAGCTTTCAAAATTACGTGAGCCAAGTACAGGTGGGTCTGGAGGATGATGGAATCGAAGAAACGCAAATGTCCTTTCAGAAGGTTTCACAGAACTGCTGAAGTATCCCATGGGACTGAAATGCTTAGGTGCTTTTGTACTTTCACCTGTGAGATTTTCTGGACCTTCAGGTATTTGACTACCTTTGGCAGTCTGCCCATCACTTCATCTATTCATCACTTCATCTATTTTACCTCTTTTCTTGTCCAAAATTATCACCTGGGCTGGCACCTACTGAAGCAGCAGTTCTTGCGTGTTGACCCTACTGAGCGTTTCTCCAAGAAAGCAAAAATAGGTGAAGCAAGGGGAGTGGGTCAGAGTGAGGACAGAAAGGAGGAATGTCTTCAGGCATGTTGAGCAGTGAGTTCTTGATGTGTCATCTGAGAGTTCCAGCTGCAGTTTGGGCCAGCGACTGCCCTTGCTGGTGCAATGTGTTTGAACTTTGAGCTCTGCGTGTCAATGAGCCCTTCCACATGCTTAGGCTGTGCAAAAGTCCCAAGGGTTACTTTGGATAGCAAATCACTAGAACGAGTCTCCAGGAGGAATAATGCCAAAGCTTATATCAGTACTGCTTGAGCTATCCCTTATGTGAGAAGTCTCCTTTTAAATCATCAGCTTTTTTTTTTCTGCAGAGGTAACTTACAGCTAAAAAATATCCATCCTCAAGGATTCCCATATAAACCTGTTTGAAGTAAGGCTTTTTCCAATGTATAATTAAGTATTTTCCTTCTGCTGTGGTTTCCAGTTTCATAGGCCAAAAGTAAAACAGAGAAAACATGAATCCAAATAAACAAAGTTCTGCCTGACCTTTGTCCAAAAGCAATAAAGCTGGACAAGAGCAATTCTCTCATCCCACTGTCTCATGCGGCAGCAGCATTCTTCCTGTGCAGGTCTGACTCCCTGCTCTCACACAGCAAATGCCTGCAAGGAGCACTTAAAATAAGCATGGATGCAGTGATTCATATTTCATAGATTGCACTGTCTGAAAAAGATGCCTTCAGAACACCTATGAGCTTAATGAGCCTTGCAGAGGCTGGGAGTGACATAGATGGGGGAGTGTGTGTGTTTCAGTAAATGTGAAGAAGATAAATTAGATAAAGCCTGTAAAAGACCATTCAGATCATCTGTCCTCGCATGGAACAGGTTTGATTCCTGCAGTGGGAATGCTGTTTTTTTTCTATAAGAAGTGCTGGTTTGGACCTGAGATTTGAAGAAAAAGGGGATCATGTTTACTGCTGTCTGTTCTTCGTCTCCTCTGTGTCATTTAACAGCATCCAGAAGAGACAAATCTTGCCTTGCTAAAACAGTTTTTTCTTGAATATGAGTGTCATGTTTTCTTTAATGAAAAGAAAAAAATTTAGCTTTTGCTGTTGATGAACATTGATAACCTCTGCAAGGGTGTTTAGTTTTGTGTGGTTTTCTTTTGTTAATCATGTTAGAAAAAAATGTCTGTGAATTTAAACCTATGCTTATTGTATTTTTGCTGGAGAATTCAGGAGCAGCTTATTATTGCTACTCATACAGTACCACAGAGACACTTGGTGCTTTGTGGATTTAAAGAGGTTCACTAATTGTGCGTCCAGGCTGTGAGATGCTTGTTCTTAGTGTGACCCAGTCGTCCTGTTTTTTCTGCGCCAGTTCCAGCATAGGAGTCATGAGCAAGGATTTTTAGTTCTCTGCTACACAAGAATATGGAAGCATTTAATGAAGTTTCAAGATGGCAGGCTTAAAACTGATAGAGAATAAATACCTTCTCGGGGAACTAGCTGGATGACAGTGCTGAAACTACATATCTCATATACGTATTCAGAATATCTGGAGAAATTGCAATTAATGCTCATAATCTTCAGAAAGGACCTACTTGTTTTTCAAGTAGCTCTTAAATAGTATAGATTGCGATGAGACTTACTGGATGTATCAGACTGACCCAGATCTCACTGCATTTCACTTGACCAAAGCATCTTGTGCTAGCCACTGTGAAAGATGAGAGTGGTGGTCTTGCTGGATTTCAGGTCTGATCCTTTCTGGCACCTTGATGGCTGTGGTCTCCAAAGGTCATGTCGTCTTCATCACAGATACTATGCTGGCTGGGAAGGTGTATTTATTGATTAACAACTCTGGAAGAGGGGGATGTGAATGCATG